CAGAGAAGGGGCGACGAGGTGGTCATACGCCTCGCCGGTTGAGCCGACAAAAAGATGTGCAACAGCCAACAAGTCGCTCATGTCCAGAGTTTGGGCTCGACGCCGGGTGTGGTGCAGCAGCTTCACCTTGACCGCACAGGTTGACTGCGCTCTTTGAAGTCCGTTTGGGGTGTTCTGCAGACCTGACCCCCCAGCCCTGCTCGAGACAGATTCGCTGCAGAGCGCTCAGGAACGCTCTCGGAGCGCTCCGAAACGGCCGTGGCGCCCCACGCGTCCTCCAGTCGGGGGCTGCTGCAGGCACCCCTGGCCCAAGGTGCCCCCAGCTGCTCGCTCCATTTTGAATCGGAAACCGGGCAAGGGCTGCCAAATCCGTGGCTGCTAAAATCGACCTCCGGGAAGCTGTCTTCGTCCTTCCGGGAAGAAGCCCGTTGACTGTTTCGCGTGCCGCGCCTCATTCCGGGAAGTTGTTCTTTCCTTCCGGGAGGGCCGTTTTAGCAGCCACGGTTTTAGCAGCCCTCGCCCAGCTTCCGATTGAAGCCCCTGGGGCCCCCTGGGCCTCGCGAGGGATGCTCTGCAGGCCGGGGGTGCCTCCCTGGAACTCCTGGGGGCGCCTCGGGCCAGGGGCACCTCCAGCAACACCCGGTCCAGTTTGTTTCTTGTTTTTCCCCCCCCCCCCCCCCCCCAAAAAAAAAAACGATCCAGGCCCGCCTAGATCGGTCTGGTGTGGTTTCGATTCTGCCTGCGCCTTGTGGGGGGTCTCGAGGCAGGTGTCCTCCCGCCGCGGCCGCCGTTCCCTCGCCCTCCTCTCTCAGGAGGGAAGGATTCACACAGACACAGGTCATCGTCGATCCCCAGGAGAAGATTGAAACTATGGGAAGTGGAGGGGGAGACGAAAACTCCGAAAATCTGGGTCTTACGGGGAATCCTGGGATTTGTATTCATGTATTATGAAGGCCTAAAGGCTGGTACCGCCGATCCTAGAAGAAAACCACCATGAGCCGGTACCGCCGATCCTAGAAGAAAACCCACATGATGAAGCCCGAGTTGTTCTGGAAAGTTGGGAACAGAAGCACCGAAGAGTTTCCCTGAAGCCCCACTAGTTTCCCAAGAAGCGTATGACGAGAAGAACAGGTTGGTCAAACTATCTGCCTATGTGCTTTCGCAGCCGCTTGTGGGAATCAGGAGAGGGAGGAGGAGGCGGAGGAGGAGGAGGATGAGGCGGAGAAGGAGGAGGAAGAGGAGGAGGAGGAGGAGGAGGAGGAGGAGGAGTGGGAGAAGCAGGAGGAGGAGGAGGAGGAGGAGAAGGAGGAGGAGGGGGAGGAGAAGGAGGAGGAGGAGGAGGAGGACGAGAAGAACGAGGAGGACAACTCGGAGGAGGATGCGGAAGGGGGAGGAGGAGGAGGAGGAGACCTCTTGGGAGCCTTTCCGGGGCTCTGGGGGCCTCCTCAGGCTTCATGGCGGCCTGTTGCCGCCATCCGGGACCGTCTTGGAGGCATCTTGGGGCCATCTTGGGTCAGACGGGGTCATCTTCGCCGTCTTTGAGGACATCTTGGGTCGCTTTGGCGGCAATGCAGCGCCATCCTGACCATCTTGGAGTCGAGCCTGGTCGTCTCTCGGAGAATTCGGTGGGAGCCCTCTGGGGGCTCTCTTGGGGCGTTCTGTCGATGCCAGGTCCATCTTGGATTAGGTGGCCCACGGCCCATCCCGCCACCGTGCATCGGTATGGTACCGTTGGGGACCTTCTGGGGACCCTCCTGGGGCTCTCTCTGGTCTCTCTTGGAGGCTTCTTGGAGCTTTCTCCAGGCCCTCTGAGAGTCCTAGAAGTCTTGAAGACGGGTCCCAAAGGGCACCAAGAGGCTCTAAAGGGCCTCAGCGGGCTCCACAAGGGCTCCCGAAACAGCCCGCGACAGTGTCATACCAAAGGTTCCTGGTATGATACTTTTGAGCGCCTGAAGACAGTTTGGAGGCCGCTTGGGAGCCTCTTTGGAGCCTCTTGGGAGCGTCTTGGGGCTTCCTGGTGGCCTCTTGTGGGCCTCTTGGGGCCTCTTGGGGGCCTCTTGAGAGTCGCCTGGGGCCCCCTGGGAGCCTCTTGGGGCGGTGAGCTTGAAATGTCAGTTTGTGTTCGCGCTCCTTGGGGCGTTCTTGGGGCGTTCTTGGGGCCGTCTTGGGCCTCTTGGGTCGTCTTGGAGGCCTTTTGTTTAGGGCAGTCTCGGCGCCCTCTTGACGGCCTCGTATGCCGCTTTGGGGCGATTTTGGGGGCCTCTGGGGCCGTATTGGAGAGTCGAGAAGCCAAACCAGCAGAAACGCTAAAATCTGTGGAACAACCAGACGGGAATTCAAAACCCTTTGTCTCTTGGGGCCCTCTTGGAATGCGCTTGGAGGCCTCTTGGGGCGGAGGCGTCTTGGACCGTCTTGAGGCCATTTTGGGCGTGTTGGAGCAATCTTTCGGTGACTCTGGGCCCTCTTGGGCCCATCTTGGAGTGTCTTGGACCTGATCTGCCGAAGGATGGCCAAATTTGCTCGAAGGCGGCCTGAAAAGGGAAGGGGTGGACTGTATTCTGACACGGGACCCTCCACCGGGACACCCCCAGGACCACTCCTGAGCTCCCCCTCCCAAGGAGGGGAAGGGATCAAAGGAAAGGGGGTTCCCCTTCGATTCAGTTACGACGTCGACCGCGACCTTGCTCGGGTCACCTCGAGTTGACGAGCTTGGCGCTCCAAAGAGGGTTTCGGGAGAGTCTCCGGGGATGGAAGAGCAAATCGAATGAAAGCTCGTCTCTTAGGAACACCTGGGGACGATGGACTCAAAACTCTCCCTCGCATGCGCTGGCAGGGTCGGCTGTGCTGTGTGCTCCTGGACCCCTTCACACCAGCAGGGACACCGTGGAATGTCACGGTGGTTCGAGACGCGCGGGCACAGTTGACCTTTTGCCTCCTCGGGGCACTCCCCGCCCTTTCCTCTCCACCCCCCCCTCTCCATCCGCCTTCCTCCCTGCTGGATAGTCACGGTGGCTCCAGGAAGGTGGACATAGTTTACCTTCTTAGCGGAACGAATAATGACATAAACAAAAGAACTCGGAGGTCCGCGCGGATTTCGCGGATCGGCGCTGGGGCAGGAACCTACGAGCTCGTCTAGAAGCTTGCAGTTGTTCATATCGCCCGTTGTTTTTTGTGTCAGGGGCTTGAAAAAAGCCCCTGGAAACCGAATCCTACCAGGAGCCTGTAGTTGTCCATATCGGATCTGTTTTTTCTGCTCCAGGGCCTGAAATGGCCCCTCGAAGCCGAAACCTACGAGAAGCTTCTTGTTGTTCGTATCGGACCTCTTCTTTATGGCCCAGAGCCTGAAAAAGGGCCCTTGGACGCCGAAACCTACGAGGAGCTCGACCGATCCCAGACCTCCGACGTCATGGGTGTTTCATAACGTCGACCCCCAAAAGTTTCGATCCTTCCCCAGGACCAGTTTGTCGTCCCGAGTCGTTTTTTGACGGCCCCGAGGCCCGGTCAGGGCCTCCCGGAAGCTGAAATTAGGGAAAAAACGACCGTCGTGATGTTTTCAGGGGTCGACGCACATGGGGTCGGAGGATCGCGCCGCATCGCCGAGGCATCGCCGGTGCGGCTCGACGTGGAGCCCGACTTGCTTCACGTCGACGTCGCCGACGCACCGCCCACGTTCACGACGCCTCGCCGACGCCTCGCCGATGCACCGCCGACGTGTCGGCGATGCGGCGCGGTCCTCCGACCACATCTACGCCGATCCCATCCATCGGGGAGACGTTAGACTCGAGCACAGCCGGGGCACTGAGGAAGGAACCCTTTTCGTTAGGGAGGGGCTCGGTGTTCCTTAGTTGTTTTGCAGTTCGCCTCTCGTTTTGCTTAGGGTTTCGATGGGACATCGAAGTTAAACTTATGGGAGAAAGAGGCCTCGTTCCTTATTTAGGGTTCCTTAGGTCAACGCCCCTTCTGTAAGCCAGAACTCGGGTATCCCGACGTTTTTGGGCGAGCGCGTCCTGGAATAATGACGGTCTGGTGTTCGTGGGATGTTTGCGGCGGGAGTTCGCGTCAACCTGCAGATCGGATCCCGTCATTGTTATGATGGCCCCGTCAGGCCAGCCCGAGTCTCCTGTAACCCGAGTCTTATCCATCGGTCGTTGAAAGCAGGTATTCTAGCATTCCCAGATCCCCATCTACTTTCAGTGCCTTCCTACTTCAATGATCGTGTGGCTCCACCTTTTCCGTTCTCCTTCAGGGGGCGGACGGAGCCCAATCTGCTCTTAACGCCTTCCTGCTTCATGTTCCACTTCTTCCTGCCGATGGGCACGCCTCCCCGAATCCAGGAGGCCTCTGGAGGTGGTCTGGGGTCGCCGATCGACCGATCGATCTCACAACGTCGACCCCCAGAGGGGTCTTGGCATCGCTCGGACGTGTGCATTGTTCCTTCGGCGAGGACCATCGAGGAGCATCCTTGATCATTTGGCGAAAAAACACGCACGAAACCGAACAAAAACACAGGGAATGGACGTCCGAGCGATGGCCAGGGGTCTGGACCCCTTCCCCGGGACCAGTTCTTCGTCCTGCGTTGTGTTTCGACGGCCCCGAGGCCCGGGAAGGGCCTCCAGAGCCCGAAAATCGCGCCAAACCGCCCGTCGTGATTCTTGCACACCGCGAGGGGGTCTGGTTATGAGGCACAATCCTGGAGGCCTCGCGCGGCGCGCAATGCTTGTATTATCTAGCCCACACGTCAGCTCCGTAAGCTATGGGTCGACGTTCGCGCGGCGATGCTCCGGCGTCAGTCCTACGTAACCCCGACGCAATTCCGACGCCATCCGACGCGCACCCGACGTAAATCCGCCGTGGATCCGACGTGGATCGGGTCTCAAGCTGCCGCGCGAGGCCTCCAGGATTTTCTTCATCAGTCTGGGTCTGGAGGTGGCCTGGGGTCGCCGATCGATCGATCGATCGCTCGATCGCTCGAGGGGCGGCGACCTCCTCGGCCCCCGCAGGCGCTGGTCGACGAGCGCAGCGGCCCGCCCGCGGCCGCGGCGCGGGAGGGGGCCGACGCCTCGGACGCCCGGGAGAAGAAGCCCCTGGAGCCGAGCCAGATGGTGGGGGCCCAGGGGGGGGGTCCTCCTCCTCCTCCTCCTCCTCCTCCTCCTCCTCCTCCTCCTCCTCCTCCTGCTTCTCTTTCTCCTTCTCCTCCTCCTCCTCCGCCTCCTCCTCCTCCTGCTTCTCTTTCTCCTCCTTATCCTCCTCCTCCTCCTCCTCCTCCTTCTCCTTCGGCTCTTCCTGCTTCTCGCCCTCCTCCTCCTCCTCCTCTTCCTCCTCCTCCTCCTCCTCCTCCTCCTCCTGAGGGGTCGTCGTCGCCGTCGTCGTCGTCGTCGTCGTCGTGCCCATCGTCGTCGTCGTCGTCGTCGTCGTCGTCGTCGTCGTCGTCGTCGTCGTCGCGTGGTCGTCGTCGTCGTCGTCGTCGCCGTCGCCGTCGTGCTCGTCGTCGTGGTCATTGTCGTCGTCGTCGTCGCCGTCGTTGCCGTCGTCGTCGCGGGGGGACCAGCCGTCGTTCCCGACGCCGTCGCCGTCTGGGGAAGGAGGAGGGTGCAAGCCCAGAGATCCGAGGGCATGATATTTTCTGTCAATCCAGGAGAAAAGCTCGTACATTGCGGCTTCAAGGGCCCGCTATCGGGCCTGGGGAGCGGGGGTCGGGAGCGCTGGGGTCGCGGATAGAACCAATCCTATCGGCGGATGTCTGGGAGAGCTGCCATGGGCCAAGGGGGAAGCGGGTCCCGAGGGAAGCGGGCCCTGAGGCTTCTCGCTGCTTTCGGGTTCTTGGAGCCCTCCACGGGCCGCGGGTTCGTCAGAGAGCGACTCAGCATGCAAAACTCGCCCTGGGGGAAGGCGCCAGGGTCCAGCCTAGATCCCTCGAGCCCAGACCCCCTCGCGCTGTGACAAAAATCACGACGGGAGGGTTTTCGCTATTTGCTGCCTTCGGCCGTCTTACCGGGCCTCGGGAGCGTCAAAACGACTCAGGATGAGAGGACGGCCCACGGGAAAGGGTCCAGACCTTGGGGGTAGACATTTTTGCACAAAATCACGGGGGGTCTGGGGAAGGAGGTGCAAGAGGCTCGTGCACCTCCTCCTTGAACCTCCCTCCTCCTTTGCTTCCAGGCCTCCCTTTCGCGGCGAGGGTATTCGCGCTCCACGAGTCCCTCATCCTGTGCCGGAGGGGGGAGGGGAGCGGCTCGAAAGCGCGGAGATGATCGCGCTTCGCGCTTCGCGGAGCGTCAAGCGCGAAGAGAGTTGCCCCAGAAGAGCGCCATGCTTTCTGCTTTTCATGGCGTCGACCCCCAAGGGTCTTGACCCCTTCCCCCGGACCGGCGTTTCTGCCCTGAGCCGTCTCGCTGACGGCCCCGCCGGCCGGGAAGAGGGCCCACCCCAGAGGCCAGAGGGTGGGGCAGCCCCTTCCGCCGTGAGGTCTGCTCCTGCCTCGAGGGGGCTCTGGGGAGGAAGCGGGCGCCAGAGCCCCCCGACGGCCGGAGGCAGACCCCTCCGCGCCTGGGCCTCCCTCTGCCGCGGGCGGCCCCCGGCGGACTCCCGGCCCCTGCTGCAGCTCCAGCCGCCGCCCCGGGCACGCCCCCGGCACGCCCCTGGCGGGACCGGGTGGCGAAGAGCGGGCCCCAGGCGTGCTCGCGTCGTGGACAGGCCGCGGTGGTCGTGGAGTGATTTCGGCATGAGCGCGCGCAGGGGCCCGCATGCGCGTGGCCGGCAGAACGATGAGACCCCATGGCTTTCTGAGGACTTCTTCGGGGGTGCGCGCACGTAGGCTTTCCAGGTTTTACTGAGGCGGTGCCTCGCAGCTTTTGGCTTGTATGCAGTCGAGCATCTGATTTAGAACCCTCCTCCCGAAAAGCTGGGCCAGCGTTTCGTGACCGACTTGCCGGAAAGCTGGCCCAGTTTCTTGAGCGCGTTGGCCCCATCCAGCGTTCATGGCAGAAGTTGGCCGGGGCTTGTTTTCAGAAACCTCCGGGAAGTTGGCCCAGATGTCTTAAGCGATCGTTCTCTTGACCACACCCTCGGCTGTAATTTCATTATTTGGTCTGGAGCCCACCACTTCTGGAAACAGTTTTGGCATGGTCGCGCGCGCACGTGTGGCCCGTGTGGTGTGACCTGAGGCGGATCCGCCCAACTCGCACCGATCGAAGCGCGTGCTCCGCAGTGCGATCGTCTTCTGATTCCTTGCTTTGCCGATCGGCGCGGGCCCTCGCACGTCCCCCCCCCTCCCTCCCGCCCCCCCCATGGAGTACAGTCGGGGCGCTGGAGAAGGAACCCTTTTCATTGGGGAGGGGCTCGGTGTTCCTTGATTGTTTTACAGTTTGCCTTGGGTTGTCCTTAGGTTTTCCATGGGGAATCGAAGTTGAACTTATGGGAAAAGGGGGCCTCGTTCCTTAATTAGGGTTCCTTAGGTCAAGGCCCCGACTGTACATCTTGGTTGTCTTTGGCGCCTCTTTCGAGCAGGTGGAGTCTTCCCCCCTGGGGCGCACCATTGCAGGCAGTCGCACGAAGCAGAGGTCCAGAGCCAGATCCCCCCCCTGCCCCTGCCCCTGCCCCTGCCCCTCCGCCCAGTGTCGAAGCGCCGAAGAGGAGAGCGTTCGCCATGAGTCCACCTGCGGGATGGAGGGGGCCGTGGCGGGGAGGCGGAGGCGGGAGGGAGGGAGGCGGAGGCGGAGGCGGAGGCGGAGGCAGAGGCGGAGGCGGAGGCGGAGGAGGAGGAGGCGTAGGAGGAGGAGGAGGAGGAGGAGGAGGAGGAGGAGGCGGAGGAGGCGGAGGAGGAGGAGGAGGAGGAGGAGGAGGCAATGCGAAGAGCCAATGCGCGGGGGCGGGCCGCTGTCCCTGGCCTGCGTGGGAGGGGTCAAGCAGGGCATTCTGCAGCACACGCTGGTCATATTGAAAGTAGGTATTTGGGGATTCCCAGATCCCAATCTGCTTCAAGCGCCCTCTCCTGCTTCAAGAGTCGACCCGATTTTGCTGTGTCTTGTTGACCTCTGGGAGGGCCTGGTCCCAATCCACTTTGTGTCCGCCTTCCTACTCCATGTTTTTACCTGCTTCTTCCGACCGGCGTGTATGGATTCTGCCCGCGCGCCTTTTGCCGGAGGCAGCGGCCACGCAGCAGCAGCAGCACAGTGCCACGCGTGTTGCGTCGCCCACGCGCCATGGAGCGCACGGCTTCCCGACCTGGACCGCTCCGAGAAGCACGCGGGAGGGGAACAAAACACAGACACAACTCATCGTCGACTCCCAGGAGCATCTGGGAAAGTGTGGGCAGTGGGGGGGAAGACGAGAATCCAGAAAAGATAGGAAAGTATAGGGGGGTCCTGCTACTTGTGTGCATTTCTGTGCGTGTCCTTGGGCCCCACGCTCGAAACCGAGCAAGGCACGGGGCATGGGCGCCCGAGCGAGGGTTGGCCTTTGGCAAGGGTGCCTCGTGCGCCGGGCGGCGCACGAGGCCTCCTCGACGATGCGGCTCGGTGCGGAGCCCGACCCTCTCCACGCCGATGCCGCCGATGCATCGCCGACGCTGGCGGTGCATCGCCGACGCATCGCCGACGCATCGCCGACGCATCGGCGGTGCGGCGCGCTCCTCCGACGCCGGCTGCTCCGGCGCCAGCGAGGAGGCCTCTGCACGAGCTGCCCGGGAGGTGCGGGGCGCGCACGGCGTGCGCCCGCGCGAGGAGCGCCCGCGGGGCGGCGGCGGCCAGGCGAGGGAGCCCGGAGGACGCCTGCCGGCGCACGGTTGGCGCCCGCGGTAGGGGGCGGGTGATAACGGCGGGGCCGCCTCAATTCGGGACGATCGAAGCGGGTACCCATCGGTCGTTGAAAGTAGGTAGTTTTGGCTTCCCAGGTTCCAGTCTACTCTTAGGCGCTTTCCTACTTCAACGATCGAGTGGCTTCGCCTTTTCCGTCCTCCTCAGGGGGGGGCGGGCACCCAATGCACTTTCAACGCCTTCCTACTTCATGTTTCTAGTCACCTACTTCTTCCGACCGATGGGCACAGAGACCGACAGCAGTTCCTGTTCATTATCAACAGGACTCGCTGTCGGCGTCGCCGCGGGCTGTGCCCATTGGAAACCGAAGGCCGCCTGCCCAACAGCGGCCGCTGGTGGTCTGTGACAGCATCTGTTGTTGGGCACTGTGCCCATTTGTTCCGTACCCACTTCGGGCGTCCCAGTCAATGGGAGGTGAAGAACGGGGACCTACAAGGATCCCGCTCGGGCCCCCTGTGGAGCCAGCAGGGGCCCAAAAGGGGCCAACAGGGCCCTTGTAGGGTCCTCCTTACTTCACCCCCCCTAACTCGGCTCAAGTCGGGCATGTCCCTGGACAGGAGGAGTATTCGGGCATAGTCAGAAAGTATGATGCGGACGATTTTCCTATGATGTTTGGTGATTCATTGTTTGCGTCTCTTTTTGACCATGTTTCGGGTTTCTTCCACGACCCGCATGTCGGAGGACATGCCCGACCTAAACTTAGCCCTCCCCCCCGTTGCCGCCCCGCCCGAGGGGCGCTCGGGAGGCTCGCCTGCGGAGCGCCCATGGGCGGCGCAGGGTTCGAGACTCTCTCTTGGAGAATCTGCAGGCAACCGCTCAGACGGGGAAGCAGAGAGCCCCATAAAGCGCAAGCACCGCTCGTGTGTGTGTGTGTGTGCGCGGAAGAGTGGAGTGGCGAGGAGGAGTCAGAAAGCATGACGACGAGGGGCAGAAGGAGGGAGGAGGAGGCGGAGGAGGAGGAGGAGGAGGAAGTGGAGGTGGACGGGCAGAAGTAACGGGAGGGGGAGGGACGAGAGGGGGAGAAGGACGAGGAGGGAAGGGCAGGAGGAGGAGGAGGAGCGTGATAGCATTCATCTCCTGGCCACAGGTGTCGCTCCTCGAGCGGCTGAGCCTGTGGGAGGAGGCCAAGACGATGCGGTCGCGGCAGCAGAAGCTCAAGAGGACGGGGCTGGCAAATGCGTGCTGGGAGAATGAGAGATACGGATGAGGGTTGTGAGGAGTAGGCGGCGGGGAAGTAGGAGGAGGAGGCCTAGGAGGAGGAGGCGGAGGGACGGAGGGAGAAGGTGGGAAGGATAATGGGGGAGGATGGCGATGGGAGGATGGTGACAATCGGAATGGGAGGGAGGAAGATCAATATTGGAATGAGGGTGGCAAGGAGCAGGATCAGGGGGCAGGGAGGTGGGGGGGGGGAGGAGCGGAGGATGGTGAGGATACGAATGAGGATGAGGATGAGGTAGGGAAGCTGAAGAGGAAGGGAGGAAGGAGGCGGCGAAGGCGAGGAGGAAAAGGAGGGAGGAGGGGAGGTGAGGAGGAGGAGGAGGAGGAGGAGGAGGACGAGGGGGAGGAGGCGAAGGGGGTGGAGCAGGAGGGATGGAGGCAGATGGGCAAGATGAGCAGGGCGAAGAGCATGGTGGAGGGTGGCTGGAGGAGGTGCTCCCGTCCCCTCTCCCACTTCCTGGGAGGGCCAGGGGGGTTAGTGAGCATAGGGAGGGCACATGGTGGGGAGGGGAGGAGCAACAGGATAACTGGCAGGATGACGCGGAGGAGGGCGGATGATCAGGATTGCACTTGCGGAGAGGCTGCGGCGTGCGAGAGCGGACGAGGAGGGCGAGAAGCATGACGAGGATAAGGACGAGGATGAAGGTACAGGTGTTTTTTCAATACTGATGTTGATAGCGATGGCGAACACCACGATTAGGATCACAATGTTGTATACGATGGTGGTGGTGATGATGATGATGATGGTTATGTTGATGTTGATGGTGGAGGTGACGATGATGGTGATGATGGTGATGATGCTGCTGATGATGATGATGATGATGATGGTGGTGGTGGTGATGATGATGATGACGATGATGATGGCAATGCCGATGATGCCGATGCTGCTGATGATGATGAGGATGGGATAGAGGGTGGGGATGGACGGGTGGATCGGACGGAGGAGATGGAGGGTAAGGGCGATTGTGGCGGGAAGAGGGGGAGACTGAGGAGGAGTTGAATGAGGAGGAGGAGGAGGAGGAGGAGGAGGAGGAGGAGCAGGCGGAGGATGTGCTGACAACCGTACGCGTCGACGTGTGTAGTGCCGATCTGCCTGATCGCGCGCGTGACGCCTCAGACCTTTTGTGCCATGTGGTTGATCGGCTTAAGTCGAACTAGCTCCGTCAGAACGCACGCAGAATCGCATGCACGGGGGTGCGGGCTAGCCGCTACTCTTCCGTACAGTCAGCACGCTGGAATCCGAACCGCTTTGGGCTCAGAAGGGCCTCGAGCTTCTCGGCCGTTCCTCAGATCCAGGTCGAAGGACCTCTCTGTGGCCAAGGCTCGCCGTATCCAGGAACGCCCCTGTGTTCCCTCCGTGCCTTCTCACGGCAACACGAGGACTGCATCCGCGACCCCCTTTACACCTGCCGGTGGCTGGCAGCAGAGCCTCCTCAGCCCACCGCCCCGCCCGCTGAGGCAGGGCCTGGCGAGACCCGCCAGGGCGGCGCAGGGCAGCGTGTCAGACTCCGCCCTCCCCCCTGGTCCCGCCCTCCCCCTCCTCCCCTCGCCCCGTCGCCCCTTTTTCCTCTTCGCCGCCCCCCTGTCCCCTCTCCCACCTCGAAGGACAGCAGTCGACATAAACATAAACTTTCGACGCTCCGCGCGGATTTCTTGGATCTGCGCTGGGAATCCCTGGCAGCGCATCCGGCGCAGCCCCAGGCGCGCTCCGCGCGCCAGGGAGGGGTTTCCAGCGCGGCTCCAAGAAATCCGCGCGGACTGCCAAAAGTTTATGTTTATGTCATTCTCCATTCTCCCGCTGTCCCCCACACCCGCAGTCAACGCATCATGTCCCCCTGCCCTGACCCCCCTTCCTCTCCCGCTGCCCTCCGCTCGAACTGCCCCTCTTCTATGCCACTCGCGTCCCCGTCTCCCCCCTTATTTTCCCGCTGTCGAATCCTGCTGTCCGCTGCGTCCATCTCCCCCAGTCCTCCCGCATTTTGGGAACCGCTTGTTTGAGCTTTCAAGCTTCAGGGTAGTAATGCGTGAGGAAGTCCCAAGCGAAACGGCGCCTGGCCTGGCCTACAGACACGCTTAGTAGTGTGACAAGGGGGGGGTTCACACCCACACATACACACGCACGCACGCACGCACGCACGCACACACAAACACACACACACACACACACGCGCGCACGCATGCACGCACGCACGCACGCACGCACACACCGACGCACGCACGCGCGCACGCACGCACGCACGCACGCACGCACGCACACACACACACACACTCACACACACACGCACGCACGCACGCACGCACGCACGCACGCACGCACGCCCGCACGCAAGCACACACAAACACACACACACACAGCCGCGCACGCACGCATGCACGCACGCACGCACGCACGCACGCACACACCGACGCACGCACGCACGCACGCACGCACGCACGCACGCACGCACACACGCGCGCGCGCACGCACGCACGCACGCACGCACGCACGCACGCACGCACACACACCCACACACACGCACACGCACACACACACACACACACGCACACGCACACGCACACGCACACGCACACGCACACGCACACGCACACAGACACGCGCTCGCACGCACGCGCGCACGCACGCACGCACGCACACACAGATACACACACACGCGCACACACAAACACACACACACGCACACACACAAACACGTAGCCACACTTATGCACACACACACACTGACGTACACACTCCTACCCCCACACACACTCACACACTTACACACATCTGCGCACACATACACACAGACACTTACACACATGTATACACACACTTACACACACGTACACACACACTTACGCACACGTACACATATACACACACTTACACACACTTACACACGTTCACACACACACCTACACACAGTTCTTACACACTTACACACATATGCACATATAGAGTGTACCTACGTTTATATATGTATATGGGATGACCTGGATGGAAGGGGGAGGAGGAAAAAGGGGAGGGGGAGGGGATGAGGAGGAGTAGGAGGATGAGGAGAGGAGGACGTGGAGCAAGTCAAGCCGGAATAGGCTCCAGCAGCCAAACGGCGATTCTTCTTGACCGCAGACGCAGACTTGATTAATGGCGGTCTGGTGGGCGAAGCACATGATGGCAAGAAAGGGCAACGGTACGTACATTCGTTGGGTCGGATGCACCGCTCCCCATAGGTTACGCGCGCTCAGCGTCAGCCTGCACGACGAATGTATAAGCGTGTGGCTGGAGCGTGGTCGGTTCTTTGCCAGGAGCAGTGGGCTTGTGTACACCAGGTTCTAAGTCGACGGTGCAGACGAGATTCCCGTGGTGGTGTAGAAGGTGGTGGAGTGTGTTCGCATGTTGTACCAAGGTCAGGTCAAAGAAGGCGTTGGTGAACGGAAACAGTGGGCCCAGGAATCGTTTCAGAAATGTGCGGGCATGGCACACAAATTCACCTAGGTGCAGGCGATGCAAGAGAGACTCGCACCCCGACGACCTGGACAACCAACGCCGACGCCCAAGCTGCTGGCGAAGGGGACCATGGGTAATTGGGGAAAATTATGGGGTCGGGCGGGGCATGGGGCATGGGGTCGGGCGGCATGCATGTTTTACGAAGCCCACCACAGTTGGACAGACTGGAATTGCTCCCCGTGATGTATGGATGAACTCGTTAGTTCGGATCTGGGGGCGAGTGGGCTCCGACACCTCGAACGCGTGTCTGGCGCAACGTCCCTTGGCTGATCTTCGAGGCTATGCGAAAGGCAGTTCGTCTGCAGATTGTACGTTTGATCCCACTTTGCACGCCGAGGTGTCGAGAGAGTTAACGGTAGTGAGCATGACGGCGATGTTGGACGCCTACAAGTGCTACGTTATGGCCAATGCGTGTGAGTATGCTTGCCATGGCCAGGTTCTCACGATATGATTTGCGAGTGGTGTGGATGATTTGTTTGTGTCTCAAATGCCCCAGTGTTCAGGCGCATGACCTTTAAGTCGCACCGTGGTGACATTGCATAGCGTCTGTGCTGAATGTGCTCACGCTACCACCTTGTGTGTGTGTGCGGTCGCAGAGGCTATTGGGCGATAGTGGAGGCCCACATGTTCTACCATTTGGGTTGGTAGACGCTTTTAACTATACAATGGGCTGGCGTTCTACTCGCTGGGATGGACACGACATGGAATACTGTGGAGGTGCTTAAGAGCAGAACGCTTGAATTTGGTCTCGTGGTGGAAATGGATAAGTCTGGCTTCGTGTGCACGACGCACAAGTAGGGGGGACTTTGCGATCTGTCGCAGGTAGGCTCGGCGTCGCGCATACACGCAGGATCAGGGGCCATTGACATGAGCTCTGCGGTGGTGAATTGTACGCGGAGGCAGTTCATGAGTGTGTTCCAGTGTATGAGGAGCCGCAGGTTTGCCCTGTGAGGATCAGGGTGGCTGTCTTGGCAAGGCATGCGATCTCTGGACCATTGGGCTTCTGCCACCTGCGGCGCATTGGGCAGGAGTGGAGGGCGGTAGTGATCAACGTCTGGCTCAGTTCGCAGGGGATTTTGCCGGCGCCAAGAAGCAAGGGGCCTCGATTACGGCCTATCTGATTACACAGCGCAGCCTTTATTTTGCTTCCGTTTGTGTTGCCGCACTGGGCCTGATTGCTCGGTGTGCTGGTTCTGTCAGGGACCAGAGATGATGCCTTGGAAGGTTCGAGTGCGCTCTGCGGTCAAGGCGCGAACTTGCCCCTAGTGACGGCGGCCCCGTCAGCTAGTCAAGTGCGTCGGAGGCGGTGGCTGGCGCATGGTGCAGCTTAACCAAAATTGGATGGAACGTGGACCCCTCCCGCGTTGATCTGCGCGGGCCAGGGGGGGAATCTCGCCGTCATTCGCATCTTCCCATGAAGTCCAGAGGTTGCTTCGGGGAGGCAATGGGAGACGGCGACGCGATAGGGCCTGGTGACGCCGCGACGTGGGAGCCAGCATAGATACTACTTTAATGGTTCAGAAACATGAGGTCAGTGGTCGGTGGCTACGCAGTAAAGGTCAGCAAGTCTCGGCTTCCTGGACGCGCCAGTGCAATGTGGCGCGGCGCACCGCGGGCTCAGGCCCACCGTGCCCGCGAGGCCCTGCTCTCGCGCAAGCGCGTCGCGCGCGCGACGCGATCCGCGTCGCGCGCCAGGCGCCGATTTTACCGCTATCACGGGCTTACGAGTGGCGTTTGTGATAGTGAAGGGCTTGCTCTATCTGAGAAGACGGCGAAGGTGCAAGAAATGGGTGCGTATCTAGGGCTGGCGAGCAAGGTCATGATGCTGCGGAGTTATCCGTTGGTTTGCCTGCGATGCCGACTCAGCTGGAGTGGCCCAGCGCCGAGCTCGACGTCCTCTCTTTGGGCGACTAATGGAGCGATGATGCGTGGTCGGGCGCCGTTTTCGCGGATGGATCTGGATTCGAGTCCGCCGCTCCGGGGCCGTTCAGGCGCGGGTGGTCGGCGGTCCAAGTTCCCATGGGAGGCCCCCCTCTCAGGGCGGCGCGTGGGCCGCTTCCAGGGGGCAGACAGATGGCGAGGCGAGCAGAGCGTCGCGCTGTCGCCATGGGTCTGCTCTTTATCCCGGGCGCCCGTCTTGCGGCCTTAGATTTGCGCGCCCTTGTTCGAGAGGGTCGAGGAGAAAGCCCGGCGCGCAGCTCGCCCCGGCCCCGGCGCGCAGATAATTAGAGGAAGACGTCGGCGAAATGCGACAGATGCAGTTGAGACACCGCCAGCACACCAACGCGCACTATTTGCCCAGTCTATGGAGCGCATCGCGGTTGGGGGGCGCCGGGGGGGGGCCCGGGCCGGCGCCGGGACCGCGCGGGGAACGGCCGCCCGCGCAGCTCATCATCCATGCGCATCGGTTCGCGGAGGTCAGCAACGGCCGAGCGAGGCGCGGGCGGCGCGGCGAATGCGCCCGAGGAGCCGAGGAACGAATCGGCCGGCGCCCGCGCTGCGCGCGCCGACGGGGCCCAGCAGCGCGAAGTGTTGGGCCCGAGCTTGTTTCTGCAGGCTTGTCGCCAGGCCCGCGCTTCAGTCCGCGGCGGTTGCCCGGGCGCTTCTCGCGGCCGATCGCGCCTTGGGCCCTGGGCCAAGTTGATGCCGGCGAGGCCAAGAGCTCGCATGATCGGTTCAATGCTGGCATATTCGCAGGTTGCAGGCGACGCAGGTTCTGGGGAGGCGTTCGCAGGCTCGGCCGGGCCGCGGCAAATTGCGTCAGCAAGTGGGCCGGTCGTCCGAGCACCGCGGCAGCATGGCGCACGGGGGGCAGGCGCGGAGGGGGCGCGACCCATTCTTGGACGGACGGCGCCCGTTTTGAGGTGATGATCGGGCCGAAATTGCACTCGCATCCCTCAGGGCTGGCCAGCGCCCGCCACTGGTGGCGCCTGCGCCGCTGACCCTGATTCTCTTGCGCCCGCAGGGCTGGCCAGCGCCCGCCCGCGGCGCCGCGGGCGCAGAGGCCAGCATGGTCTGCCAGTTGAGGCCTTCGGCTCCGCGCAGTGCCCCGGCTCACTTGCCTGTGCCCTGGTTCGCGCTGGTGATAAATAGATTCGTATCTGGGCAGTGGTAGCTTGTTCGGGCATGTCTTTTGTTGATTACCGAGCGATGATGTTGGTGGGCGATGTTTTTGGGGGGGGTCAGGGGCGTCGCGGGCCCATGGCAGAAGTCGTTGCGCCAACGCTTCTAGAGAGCGGCGCCAGCGAGGGAGTACAGTGAAATGGGATCTCTCCCTGGCCCGTCGGGCCATGCATGCGAAGCCTGTGGCAGTGTTCTTGTTTTGTCTTCTCAGATATTGTTAGTGCCCCGTTTTTCGCGATCGGTTTCACGATGTCCTATTTTCTAGGGTTGTTGTCTTCGCGCTGGCTCCGTGGACAACGGTGACCGCGTGGAGCTGGTTTTCGCTCCTTGCGGGGGCCGCGGCAGGGCGGCTCCATGCATGAAGTCGGGGTGGACCGTTCTTCGGCCTCTCCGCGGTGCGCTCGCGGAGGTAGAGGAGGACGGGAAACAGGAAGGGAGGAGGAGGACCAGTTTACATCCAACGCTGTCAACGATGTTACGATAAACCCTTCCCCAATGTTGTTTTCTATGGGGCCGTATAGTAATGTGCTTTCGTTGTGGGACGTTCTCCATTGGAAAGCAACCGTCTGAAAGTCTTCAGCTGTAGTATAGGCCCAGTCCTCGGCATGCGGCGCCGCGGGTCAACGTGACTGGTGCGCCCTGACAATCCCAAGTCGTGCCAGACCACCATTCCCAGTGGTTCCAGCACGGCAAACCAGCGTACGTGATTGCTGCGTCCTGCCAAGCCGAAACGGTGCCAGAACACCCGAGCTGGGACTCAAACCGTACGGGTCCTTGGCGTTGTCGAACATGTTCAGCGCGAGCGCGCGCGGCGCGAGGGCGAACGCCGCACACCGAAAAAGAGCAGCCCTCCGTCCTGTAAGTTGTCGCAGACTTTCAGCACGAATGTGCGCGGCGATAAAACCCTGAGGTTGATAGACCCTGGCACGTCGATTCGTGAATTGGCCGTTGTCGGTTCGCGAGAGCGCGTCGCGGCCATCATTTTCGCGGGTCCAGGTCCGTCGGTTTCGGTCCTAGGTCGTTTTCATTTAAGGGTGGTTTACTACAGGGAGGTTTGTCCACCGCCGAAAAACGACAACCACATGTTGAAAACGACTCGCCATGCCTCCGTGAAGCTGTGGCAAACGGTTCAGAAGTGTGCGCGGCGCTGGGGCGATAAGGGCATTGTGAACACAGACCGCCCCCCATCCGTGAAGTTGCTGCAAAGTCCAAGCGTCAGGGTCGTAAAAGGTGGTATCCTGTTATGCAAGCCGGCGACGAGGAGTTGACAACCAGGCAGGGGAGGAGAAGGGAGGAGGAAGGAGGAAGAGGATGAGGAGGAGGAGGAGGAGGAGGAAAAGGAGGAGGAGGAGGGAGAGGAGGACGAGGAGGATGAGGAGGTAGAGGAGGAGGATGAACATGGGGAGCAGGAGGACAATGAAAGGCAATTGCGATGGTGATTTAGTCATTCGATCCGGCCATTCCCATGTGCGCATATCATGTCTTGGAACTTCCCGCAGTGAACGTTTGAACGAGAGAGTATTAGGTTGTGCCGGCTGGGCGCTCCCCAGCGGTTCCCCTTCGGAGCGCTCAAGTGCGATGACTGCTACATCGGGGTGACGTGGGGATTCTGAAAGGAGCGGGGTCGGGGAAACCAGAACCAGCGTTCCGGTTAAGGCTTCCCCACGACTTGGCCGCGAAGGTGCAAGTGTAATACCCCCTGGCGGATCAGGAGGCCTTCAAAAGAGAGGAGTTGGGAACGCTGGATGAGCGAACCGCTCGAGGCATCCCCGCAATCTGGGCGCGAATCGGGACATGTGACACCACTTGGCGGCTCCTCTCTTGGGTGCTCAAGTGATCCTGAGGCTCTAAAGAAACGGGAGCCGGTGTGACGCCAAACGAGCGCACCGCTCGGGGCATCCCCGCAATCCAGGCGCAGACAGGTGCATGCAACACCCCCTGGTTGATCATTCCCGAGGGTGCCTAGTGTTGTGGAAGTCGATTGATGGAGAGGAAGCGTGCTGCCAAATAATTTCCAGGTTTTAAACATATGAAGATGTAAAACAACATATTTGAAACATGTTTGGAACATGTTTTACACCTTTTAACCACATGTTTAATTCAATGATCGGATGGTTAGAATGTCCATTGTCATGGCATCCACAGCCTTAGTGCTGTGCCGTGTGTTCTCGGGTCGCGGCGATCATGAGGCTATCGAAAGCTAGGAGCTTGGGACGCCAAGCGATCGGACCGCTCGAGATATCCCCACAAGCTGGGCGCGAACGGGGAGATGAAACGCCCCCTGGCGGCTCCTTGTTGGGGTGCCTGCTACATCGCGGTGCTCATATGGTGCGAGGAGGGAGGAGTCGGGGGTGCTAAAACATCATTTCGCCCGAACCGTCCCCACAGTCTGGGTTCGAACAGGGAGATGCTATACTCCCTGGCTGTTCCTCCTTGGAGGAGCGCTGGTCTCAAGGTGGGCATCAGGCTTCCAAGAGAGAGGAGTCGGGGACGCGACGCGGGCGAGTTCTTCGAGAAGCCCTCACAATCTGGGCTCGAAAGGGGGCATGCCATATCGTCTGGTGGCTCCTCATTTTGGTCGCCCGAGTGCTGTGAGGGCTGAGCCGTTGTGATCATCGAAGCCTGGGCGTCAACTGATATGTGCATGATGGTTCTGAACATGAATGCATCTGGGTATGAGTTGGGTCTGCCTGCGATGACGACCTGCGCGTGAATCTGAGTAGAAGTGACTCTGGGCATGAGTGGGTCTGTGTGCCAGTGCGACTGACTGAGCGTGTGTGGGTCTGGGTGTGAGTGGACCTGAGTATGAGTGAGCCTGGGTACGAATGGGTCGAAGCGTGAGTGGGCTTGGGTGTGAGTGGGTTTGAGTGGCAGCATCTGTGTACAATGGGGCCTAAGGAGTGGGAATCAGAGGAGGGAGAGGAGGGAGGAGCGCGAGCGGGAGGTGGATGCGTCAGTTTAATAGCAAAACCCCGACTTAGGACATAGGGCATATGACAATATTGTATGAAAGTGCATAACCACGTTGCCGTTTCGACCCAGGCCGCCATGCGTAAGGCCAAGCGCAACCAGCGTGATGAGCCATGCAGGTGCTCCCTGCGCCGCTGCCTCTGGTGCGGGGTTCCCGGGCTGGCGGCGGCTGGTCTGCTGGGCGTGGCGCTGTCTCCAGTGCACACTGGAGAGCTCGTAGCGGCCGTGGTGCTGGACGGCACGCAGTCGGGCCTGCCCAGCGCAATTTCTCCCCATCCTCGTGATGATAATGATGATGATGATGATGATGATGATGATGATGATGATGATGATGATGATGATGATGATGATGATGATGATGATGATGATGATGATGATGATGATGATGATGATGATGATGATGATGATGATGATGATGATGATGATGATGATGATGATGATGATGATGATGATGCTGATCATCATCATCATCACCATCATCTTCGTCATATTCATCCTCATCATCTGGATCATAATCATCATCATCATCATCTCATCATCATCTCATCATTTTCATCTTCATCATCAATATCATCATTCAGTTCATCATCATCAGGTCAATCAGTACCATTGTCATCATCATATATTACATCATCATCGTCATCGTTGCCACCATCATCGGCATCGCAATCGGTATAGTTATCGACATCGTCATTCGAGTTGTTGATTTGTTGCTTGCATTGTTTATCTTATGAGTAGTATCAGTGCTAGCGCGCCAGTATGATTAGTCATAGTATTAAGAGATTAGTAGCACTCGCATTCGTATATTCAGTAGTCGTATTGATTTTAACACTCCATGATTATGCAGATCATTCGTAGTATTATTCTATAATCAATATCATGCTATTCGCATTCGTGTTATTATCACCTATTTTCTCAAGTTTACTCTTGATAGGATTTGTAGTAGTTTTACCTCTCATGCATTATTACGTTTCGTATTGTTGTTGGTATGTGTATCACCAGTCTCAACATCATCATAAACATCATCACATCAGCATCATGAGTACCACCTCCACCACCGCTATCATCACCTTCACCCCCCACCTCCGCCGTTACAGACATCGCCACCACCATCATCATCATCATCATCATCATCATCATCATCATCATCATCAGCAGCAGCAGCAGCAGCAGCAGCAGCAGCAGTAGCACCATCAGCACCATCAGCATCATCGTCAGTATCATCACCATCCTCCTCCTCCGCCTCCTCCTCCTCCGCCTCTTCCTCCTCCCCCTCCCCTTCGCCTCCTTTTCATCATCCGCCTCCTCCTCCCTCCGCCTCCTCCTCCGCCTCCGCCTCCTCCCCCTCCTCCGCTTCTTCCTTCGCCTCCTTCGCCTCCGCCTCCTGCTCCCTCCTGCTGCTCCTGCTCTGGTCCCTTCCCCTTCCCCCTGCTATCCCCCCCCCCCTCTCCCCGCGTCGCCCTCCTCCGCGAGTCCAGGCGAAGGGCTGTGGAAGACCACGCCGGGCCGCCCGGTGCGCTTCGTCAGCGTGCCCCTGAACGGAGGGGAGGAGGTCACGGCTCGAGCTGAACGCCGTTTTGGGGAGTTCTCGTGGACCGCTCTCGTTCTGATCTCGTTTCGCAGCAGAGGCAGAGCGTAGACAGAACGAGGAAGACGGAAGCATGACAGAAGCAAAAAGCCCCGCTTAGCTTTAAGTCGGGCGTGCCCCTCTGCAGAAGGAGTATTCAAACATAGTCCCAGAAAAAGTCAGGGGAGAATTGTTCGACTATCTTTTGAATATTTTTGAACATTTTCTAAGTATTCTTTCTTCTTCTGCCCGACCTAAGCTCAGCTCGAGCCCTTGGCGAGGTCGCCGAGCTGCTGGGGCTCCCCGCGGAGATGCCGGGCGGCGCGTGCCGCCCGCCGGGGCCGCCGCTGGCGGCCGGCGGCGCCGGAGGCCGCGGCCTGGGCGAGAGCTTCTGCATCGTGCAGGACCCAGCCCCGCGCAAGACTCCGACATTTTTTTGGTCCGCGCCTCCGAGGCGAGAGACAGGGTGCGAGCACAACGTCCGGGGCGCGGTACGTCAATAATTGGCGCGAGATTGCCGCGGATTCCAGCGGACAACACTCGCAGCGGCACATGCACATGCCAGGGACAAAATGCCCCTCATTGAGACGCATTTCAGCGTCTGCAGGTGACCGGCCCAGACAGCCCGGCTGGTGGGGAAGCAAAAGGCGCGGCAACGAGAGTCCGACATGATCGCATCGTCAAAATTTAGGACGGGAGGTTCTTGCCAGTTTTCGGGCTCGGGGAGCCCTCGCCGGGCCTCGGGACCGTTAAAAGACGGCTCAGGATGAAAAGCCGGTCCTGGGGAAAGGGTCGGGACTTCCGGAGACCGCGTATTGGAAAATCAGGACGTCGCATGCGAGAGTGTTTTTGTTACAGTGGAGGCCCCTGCCAAGAACACCCTGCTTTCCTCCAGGGTGCCCTGGGTTTTTCGGGTTTCGAGGATTTTGCGGTGGAGAGCGCGACGTTCCCACGCCAAGAATCGATGGACGTCCTGGGGTCTCAGGGTTGGGTTTCTCGTGGAAGGTTTCTCGTGGACTGGCCTCCACTGTACGAGAGTGTTTGTGCTACCCTCTGGGTCAAGAAGAAGCAACGACACCAACATAAACTTTCGGAGCTCCGTGCGGATTTCTTGGATCCGCGCTGGCCCCCCCCTCGGGGGCGCCTCGGGGGGAGCGCCATGGAGGGAGGCCCAGCGCAGATCCGAGAAGTCCGCGCGGAGCGCCAAGAGTTTATGTTTATGGCGTCCCTTCTTCTTCTAGTTGTGCCCTCTAGCCCTGCCCCCCCCTCCCCGCCCCCCCATAACGTAACGCTCCCCCGCTCAGTGCGCAGTGCGTCGGGCACCACAGTCTGGGGGGGACGGGGGGGGGGACGCTACGTCATGCCCCCTCCCGCCCGTCATGGCCGCGAATTGAAAATGCGCTCTACGTCGAGGAAACGTCTGACTCGAGCGCGCTGGTAGTCGGGTTTGCCGACGTTTGTTTGGCGAGCGCGTCCTGGATGTCGGCTGTCCAGTTTTCCTGGGATGGTTGCAGCGGGAGCTCGCGTCAAATTTCAGACTGGACCTCGTCATTTTTATGATGGCCCCGTCAGGCCAACCCGAGTCCCCCGAACCCAAGTCTTCCGTCTCCCCGGTTACGCCAGAGCGACCTTTGTCCGAGGCGGGGATGTATCTCCGGAGATCCGACGCTCTGGAAAGATTGGCCGTTCTCAGCCTCCAGGGGCGCTCGTCGGGCCCCGGGGCTGTCAAACAACAGCTCGGGACGAAAAACCAGTCCTGGGGAAGGTGTCCAGACCTCCCGGGGCCCACTCGTCGAAAAAATTGGAGAGGCCGGATGTCGGGGTCCCGAACCTTTGCCTGGAGGATCGGTCTTCGGGGACCTCGGCAGGCAGTGGACATGTGCAGATAGTCGGCCCCTTGGGGGCAAACAATCATATCCATATCCACCGCCCGCTGGGGTCCCAGGACGTCGGTTCCACAGGCAGTGGAAATGTGTGTATATTTGAGGTGTTCTAAACAGGGCCTTGCTCTCGAGGATCGAAGGTGTTGCCATCTCTTCCGCGGCGGAAGGGCGGAAGGTTGGCGGAAGTAAAACGAGGCCGCCCCGCTGGCGGAAGCCGGCAGAAGCTCGGAGGAAGGCGGCGGAAGTAAAACATGCGCCCCAAAGAGATGAACGCGTTTCTGGGTTAAGGGTTTCCGAAATCGCCTATATATGTACATGGACATGCATACACAAATGCCTGTATACACATGAATACATACACATATCTTCATGTGTATATGTATGTGTGTGTATGGATCGATGCATGTATGTGTGTATGCATGCATGCATGCATGCATGCACGCATGTTTGTCTGTATGTACGGATGTATGCGTGCATGTGTGTATGTATGCATGTAGGAATGTACGTGTGTATGTATGCATGTATGTATGTATTCATGTATGACGTACGCATGCATGCATGTTGGTATGTATGTATTTAGTGCGATGTAAAGTAATACAATGTCATTTAATGTAATGTGATGTAATGTATTGCAATGCGATGTAATGTAAAGTAAAGCAAAGTAACGTATATATGTATGTATGTATGTGTGCATATGTGTCTGTATATACATGCAAGTAAATATAGATATGCGGATGCATACGTATGTGTTTGTTTACGTGTTGGTATATGTGTGTGATGTGTGTATGAATGTATGTATGTATGTGTGTATGTGTGTTTGTATGCATGCACGCATGTATGTGTGCATGTATGTATGACGGCATGTATGCATGTGTATATGTGTGTATGCAGGTCTGTAGGTATGTGTATATGTATGTACGCACGTACGTAGGTATGCATGCATGTATGTATGTATGTCTGTATGTATGTGTGCATGCATGCATGTATGTATGCATGCATGCATGCACACACATACATATATATATATATATGTATATATGTGTATACACACATGTATATATATACACATGTATGTATGCACATATATATATATATATATATGTATTCCCGCCTCGCATTTTCGTGCGGGCCCACAGGGGGGCCTCGGCACTGGCCTGCGCACTCGAATCTGGCCCCGCCTCAGCCCGGGAGAGCCGCGGGCCCCATGCCACTCCTGGTCAGGGCCACCTCGGTGGCCACATGCGAACCCTACCCCACCTCCCCCCTTAGAAATCGTGGGGTGGCGGGGTAGGGTTCGCATGTGGCCTCCTATCGCTCTTGCCTGCTGCCGAAAGGACCCGTACGAGCGCATGATCGCGCATTTCCGGGCCTCGGTGAGGGGCAGGCCGATGCAGCCGAAGGGCTGCCTGGACGTCGGGGGCAACGATATGAGAAGAGGAAAAGGTACTCCAGATTTCGTGATAAAAGGGAGGGGGTCTGGACCCTCCAAGACAAGCCATTTCAGACCTCCCCCGTGGGAGAACCCTCCAAAGCATCGTCCCCAGACCCCCCAGGCCCTCCAAGATAGCCTGGAAGAGACCCCCCCCCGAAATGAGACCCCCCTCCCTTTATTACGAACTCTGGAGTACCCATACCGCTCCCCTCCCCTCAGTTTCCCCTTTTGGGGGGCCTTCTGGGCGGCCCTCGCCGCCACCGCTGGCTTCGCCTCGCAATCCTGGTCAGAGCGCACCCCGGGAGAGGCCCAGGGAGTATAGTGGTATGGGTGCATCTGGGTTTCCCCACGATAGGGGTGGACGGGCGGAGGGGGGGACTCATCGACCCGCAGTCGCCCATTCATCGCCGGCTGGGGGCCCGATAGCCCACCCCGCCCAGGAACACTCGGATGTTGCTATCGGTGGCCTATTGCCGAACGATCGGCGATGCATCGCCGCTTCCGGCTCAATGTCTCCCCCCCCTGAGCTGGTCCCCCCCCCCTATCTGGAGAAGCCAACAGTCACTGATACCGATACCGCTGCTCCCCCCAGACCTCTGCCGGGGTGCGGCCTGACCAGCACCCCGAGGCGCATCAGGCGGTGGCGACGAGGGCCTCCCGGGAGGCCCAAGAAGGCGAACGCGAGGCAGAGGTGGCGGTATCTGCAGCCTTTTCCTCCTCCCCAGACATCCGACGTCTCGATTTTTTTGAGACATGGGCACCCGACCTCCCGACCACTTCTCCGCGACCGGTTGTCCACCCGAGTCGTTTTTTGACGGTCCCGAGGCCCGGCGAGGGCCCCGAGAGGCCGAAAGCGACGAGAAACCTCCGTCTCGATTTTTTCGAGGCGCCCGATGTCTGGTCTGGACTATCGCTGCGCCCGAGGACGGCCTGGACGCCTTCGTCAACCGGACGCTGAACGGCACCGCCGCCGGCGCCGGGGGGGGCGGCGCCTGCCGACCGTGGCCGCAGGCGGGCTACGTGCGCGGCTGCGCCCGGCGGCTGCGCCTCGAGCTGCTCCCGCGGGAGCTGAACGACTTCCTCGAGGCCCAGGCGGTGCGGACGAAGGGGGCCGGGCGAGGAGCTGCGTGCCCAGAGATCATATAGCCGATTCAGCCGAGGAGAGGAGTTCTCTTCCCTCTGGCGGCTTCGCCCGGGTCTCGGCCTCCGGGGCCCGCTCTCGGGCAGTCTGGGGCCAGCACGCGTGGAGCCGGGACCAGGAAGCACCTCCGGGGAAGGGTCCGGGACCCCTTGTGGGGCCGCGGGTTGAAACAGATCATGTCGGCGGATGGTGTCTGTGTGCACGTCCACTGCCCCCTGGCCGGGCCCTTCCTGGGCCCAGGAGCCGAGCAGACGCAGTCCTGGCCAAGCCAGGAGAGAGCCTGGCGTCTGCACCGCTGCCGGGTTCAGGACGGGGCCTGGCCAGGGAGCAGTAGATCTGTATAAAGTTTCGCCGCCCTACAGGACGGGGTGGTCCTCGGGCGGGCTTCGCGGGACTCGGTTCGGGGATGCGTGCTCGGGGCCGCCTCCCCCGCCCCATTCCACTGACCAGAGCTGCCGTCACCCCCGAAAGCACACAAACTACGGCAGGCCTCGTTTCGTGACGCCGCATATGTTTTGAGTCTCGGGCCCGTCGGATATCACCGAGCGCGTTCCACTACTCGCAAAGGGCCTACTCGCAAGCGTCCGAAACAAAACACATGTCTGCATCGATGTAAGTCAATCTCTCATGTCGGATCCAGGCCATTTGTGAGTAGTTACTTTGCGAGTAGTGGAACGCGCTTGTCTAGGATAGAGCCAGGACCCCTGGCAAGGGGAGCCGCTTAGTGCTTGGGCCCGAGGCCTCCCAAACGGGCCAGAATCACTAACACCAGGTCTGCGGCATCTGGTGTTCCATCAGGTGGCGGCAGTTCTGGTTGGTGGACCCTGAGATCCGACGTTGCAGAAAAAATCCAACTTAGCAAAAAAGTCACGACCGCAGCCCCAGACCCCATCTTTCTGCGTCATTTCTCATGCCAGATCGATCCGTGGGGCCCGAAATTGATCGAAAACGCCCGTTGTAAGAATTTGCAACGCCCAAATCTCAAGGGTTCTGGTTGGTGGAATGGGGCGGGGGGGTTCTCCCTGGTACAACTCGCAGGTCCCACGAAGCCCAGTCCTGCCCAGTCCTGCCAACGCAACGCCCGGATGGGGACCTGGAGGGCGTTGCGAAGTGTGCTGCGTGCAGCTGGTTGTCGGCCGCGCCGCAGTGCACATTCCTCGATGCACGGCCGCATCTGGTGCATCCCGGCGCTGGGATGACCGGCAGCATGCAGCTGATTCGCTGGCTCAGAGGAGGAAAAGGTACCCATACCGCTACCCTCCCCTCGTTTTCCTCTGTTTAAGCCTCTTGGGAGGCCCTCGTCTCCACCGCTGGTGTCGCGTGGTCAGAACGCATTCTGGGAGTGGTCCGGGGAGTAGCGGTACCGGTACCTTTCAGTTCCCCTTCTAATTCCCCGCTTTGCTATCCCCCCTTTCGTCCACCCCGAAAATGGCCACCGACAGCGTCTCCGAGAGAGACCCGACATAATGAAGACTTGTGCTATGCTGTCGCCGCGCAGCCTCACCTCAGCCTCACGGGCTCTCATCGAGGCGGCCTTCGAGGAGGACTTCTCGCTAGTAGGTGCAACACGCTTGCGCGATCCAGAGTTCATCCACATCCCGCGAACTGGAGGCACCACCGTGGAGGCCGTCGCCTTTCGCTACGTGCTGTGGGGCGGCAACCATCCTATGATGCATTCCAGTCAGGGGCCAGAGTCTTGCTCCCACGCGCGGCTTCGGCTCGCCTTTTGCCGAGACGGCGGTCCAGGGGTTCGAGTAGTTCTTGGATCGCAGTGCCGTATGTTCTTTATACACACGCATGCGCTTGCCCGAAGGAGAGCGCACGTGTCAAATCTGTACGCTGCGAGCAACATCCAGATGAGACACTCCTCCTCCTCCTCCTGCTCCTCCTCCTCCTCGTCCTCCTGTTCCGTCATACTCCTCCTTCTCCTTTTCATCTCCTTCCTTCTTCTTCTTATTATTATTATTCCTCTTCTTCTCTTCTCTTCTTCTTCTTCTTCCAACAAGCACATGTCATGAGTTACAAGGTGTAGCTCACCCAGCAGCCACACATGCGCGCATCCACACACCCACACCCACACACACCCACACCCACACCCACACCCACACCCACACCCACACCCACACCCACACCCACACACCCGCCCGCCCGCCCGCCCGCCCGCACGCACGCACACAGACACACAGACACACACACACACACAGACACACCACAAACACATACACCACACACACACACACCACGCACACACGCACGCACGCACGCACTCACGCACGCACTCACGCACGCACGCACGCACGCGCGCGCACACGCGCACACGCGCACACGTGCACACGCACACACGCGCACACGCGCACACGCGCTCACGCGCACACGCGCACACGCGCACATGCGCGCACACGCGCGCACATGCGCGCACGCGCACGCGCCCGCTTCCGCTTCCGCGCCCGCGCCCGCGCCCGCTCCCGCCCCGCGCCCGCGCACGCGCACGCGCACGTACACGCACACGCACACGCACACGCACACGCGCACGCACACCCACACGCACACGCACACGCACAAGGACGCGCACGCGCACGCGCACGCACACGCACACGCAATCGCACACGCACACGCACACGCACACGCACACGCACACGCACACGCACTCGCACTCGCACTCGCACACGCAAACTACACACACTACACACACTACACACACTACACACACTACACACACTACACACACTACACACACTGCACACACTACACACACTGCACACACACACACTGCACACGTACTGCACACACTACACACATTTCACACACACACTACACACACTACACACACTACACACTACACACTACACACACTAGACACCACACATCAGACACACACGCACGCACACACACACACACGCACACACACACACACACACTACACACACTACACACACTACAAACACTACACACACTACACACACTACACACACTACACACACTACACGAACGACACACACACACACTACACACTACACACACTACACACACATTACACACACTACACACACTACACACACTACACAGAGGCTACACACCAAGAGAGGCAGTGTTAAGCCGCTCCCCGAAGAGGATGCAGGGGGTTGGAAGAGCAAGCGCCCTAAACCACCTAATAGCTGAAAGGCTAGTGGGCTGATTCGCACCAGAGCTCGCAGCCAAGCGCCTCGAGGCATGGAAGGGTGTCGGAGCCGGGTGCGGGGGCTGGACTCCCGCTCCTGATCCAGAGCGCAGCAGATCGGAGGCGTCCCCGGCCGCAAGTGCTACAAGCTGCACCTCCCGCCCTCCCAGATGCCGCTGGTCTACGAGGGCAAGGACCGGAGACCGATGTTCGGGCGTAGCACCGGCCCAGGCCGAGCCGCGGCGCAGGAGCGCGCCCGCGCGAGCGCCTGGCCGGCGCGGTGCTAGCTCCAAACGTCGGGCTCCCAGAGGAGACGTTCTGCGTGATCCGCGACACGTATGACCGCATCTGGGCGGGCCTGTCTGTGCCACGCCACCGCCCCATATAGTTTCAGCTGGGCGCGAGAGTAACCTTTCGCCAGAGTGGTCTTTCGTGCGGGCCCAGCGGGGCCCCCAAATCACTGAACGCAAAGCGGAACCAGCGGCTTGCGCGCCCAGCTTTTGCCACCCCGCGTCTGCAGGTAAGCCGCGCACCAAAGGTTAATCTTGCCTAGGGCCACTCTTGCGTGTAGCCGATAGATCTCATGAGAGCTTTTTTGAGACACCCCCACGCGGCAGTCGCAACGTGCGCCAGCAAGCGGGCGGCCGATTAGCCGATTGGTGTGTGTGGGTGGGTGCAGCAGGGTACCGAAGACGCCTGCGGCGAGTCACTGCCGCCCCCTGCTTCTGGAAGCGCCCATGTTGCGCAGTTCCCAAGCCTTCTTGGGCGTGTCTTGGAAGGCTCTGGGTGGGAAGTTGTGGTCGGCTTGCTTCCCAGAGGCCTACGCGGCAGGCGCCGCAAGCGCCCAGGAGCGCCCAGGAGTGCCGAAGAGCGCCCTAGAATTCGGGCAAAGTGTGAGCTTGGGCTTGCAGCCCTCCCACAGCCGTTTCAGCACTCACATGTGGAGGACCTTTCGGGCACGCCGCTACGAGCTGAAGGCACGGTGGCGGATCTGAGGCACGATGCCTTCGCTAGTGAAAGTTTGTGTGTGTATGGTTTTGGGAGGGCGTGGGCTCTCAAAGTCCTCAGAATCAGACCTTGGTGGCGGTGGTGGCTCATACAGCGCAGCCGGGCGTCGTTTCCGAGTTTGGTTTCGAACAGATGCATGCGCGAGTCAACCGCTATGGGTGCGACCCTGAAGGCCTGAACAGATGGGTTTTCGACCATTTGGCGTCCAATAGCACCCTGAGGGCAAACTGGTATCGCAGGGACTGCCACTTCTTGCCCCAGTCCGCCTACGTCTACTCTTGGGATGACGCCCTCAACCGCGTGAATCGCTCGAAGAGGTGGTGCAAGCATGTCCTGCGCTACTCCCGCCTGGCAGAGGACTTGAATCGTTACTGGGGTAGTGTTGGGTATCCTTTCCGCTTCGGGGACTTCCGGGCCGGCGGTACGACCTCCAAGGGTGGTTGTGGTAAGATGAAAGGCCGCAACCTCACCGACTTCTCTAAGGGCCTCATCGCTGAGGTGTACAAAGAGGATATGCATATCTTAGCTGAGCTTGAACAGGAGGCCGAGGACGCAGCAATGGCCGCTGGGTTGGTAGCGCCATCCAAGAGCCGTGCCAACGGCAAGCTACAGTATGAAATGGTGGAACTCGCGCGCGGAAGCATACTCGTCGAGGAGTTCACGACCTCGGAGGAGTTTGAGATTGAGTTCGGCGTGCTGCCCAGCAGCATTCTCAGCAGCTCGTTCGGCAACATCCTCCGCGTCACCACCTCCAGCGCCAACCGCGGCTCCGTGGGCGCCCGGTCGCCATCGTTCGGGTTCTCGCGGAACAGCACCAGGCTGATGGCGTTCATGGGGCACCACGACAACCACGAAGCTCGGTGCGTCGCCGAAGGACCTGCTGGTGTGCTGCCTGTCGGGGACACGTCGCACGTCAAGGCACGCCTGAAGGACACCGTCTTCGCTGTGTTCGTCAACGGCTCCCTTGTGTGCAGTTTGCCTGGCTTTTCAAGGAAGTACGCAGCGTCGCACAGCGGCCGTCTCTGGGCCAGTGACCAATTTGATCCAGCAGCGGAAGCCCAGATTGGCAACTTGACGTACCGCCCGCTCAGTAAAGATAAAAAGGTCCACCTCCGTGTTGTGATGTTATGCGCTAGACGAGAAGACTAAGTGTGCATTTGTGTATTTGGTGGCGACGCGCGGGATATGCTGTCCAGAGCTCTCTGATGGCCAGTCGACCTCGTCCTCCTCCTCATCCGCCTCCGACTCCTCATGCTCACTTGTGTGGTGTGGGGGGGATTGGGGAGGTCTTTCACCCTCCTCTCCACGGGTGTCTTGCTTTTGACGCCCCCCCCCTTGGCAGACATTTGAAAATACGCATGGCTGGAGAGAAAATTGACAGGGGACAAGAGATGGGACGAAAGAAGAGGCACACGACGCCGGCTGGACAGCAGTCCAGCACAGACACCTCGCGGCCTTGCACCTCCAAGGGGGGCGGCGGAAGAGAGAGAGAGAGAGAGAGTGAGGGAGTGACGATGAGGATCATCGGCCACCAAACCACCCCAACCCAACCCAACCCGAAGGCCGATTTGCCCTCCATTTCTGGTGTGAGGGGGGTCGGGGAACGTTGACAAAAACACCTACGAGGCCCAACCCGAAATTCGGGCTGGTCTTCGGGCCTGGTCGGGGTGGTCTGGTAGGCAGTCTGGAGGAGGAGGGTCGCGCCGCCTCGCAGGCAGCTCGGTGGTCAGACCTCCGGCGTCGGGGTGTCCGTCGTGGCACGGAGGCTCCCGCAGTCATGCCATCCGGAGTCCCGAGCCCCTCGCCGGGCCTCCAGCTCTTCGGCCCGGGCCCAGAAAAGGCTGCCGGAGACTCGGAGGCGACGATAGTCAGGGGGGGGGGAGAACCCCCCCGGACTCTGCAATCGGCGTTTGCGAAACTCGGGCGAGGAGAACTATATGCACATGCACCCACCGAGCCTGACAACGCCCATCCTTGACCCAGGATCGGTGCATATGCCTTCCTGGCCAAGGTAGCGGGCGTATGCACCGATCCCGGGCTCAGGATGGGCCTGGCCAGAATCGGTGTCTGTGCATGGTTCTCTTTCCTCTATAAACGGCCCTGGGCGTTTACTAGGCAGCCCTGCCCTGTTCGATCTCTTCTGTGGGTGCGTCTACTAAACGGCTTCGCGTGTCGGGGTGCTCATTCTGGGGGTGGATTGTCTGCCCTCCTTAGATACGTACGGGTGAATTGCCCATGGGTGGGCATCACACGCCTCCGCTCGGGAGCCTCGCCGAAGGCGTGGATCATCGGCGCCCTTTGCATGCGTGTGTTGCCCCCCCCTGGGCTGTGCTATTCGCCCCCATCGTTGGCCCCGAGACGGATACCGAAGCCGAGGAACAAATGTTGCTGGGTGGACGCGGCATGGCGTCAGAGGTCTGGGGAAGGCCTGGGGGGTCGCCGAGCCGCGCGCAGGAAGCCCGGGCACTTCAAGCAGCGCGTGGCGAAGGCGGCGAAGATGGCAAAGGCGAAGCCCGCGCCCGCGGCGAGGCTTGCCCTCCACCCCCCCTCCTCTCCTCTCCCCATCCCTCCTCCCTTCCCCTACTCCCGACCCTCCTCCCCCCTTCCTCCTCCCCTCCTCCTCCTCGCCTGCCCTCCCTCCTCCCCCTCATCCACAATTACACAGTACGATACTACTCTCCTCTCTCCCCTGGTGACGTCTGGGAAATGGCCGGCCCCCCTCCGCGTATTAGTTTTTTACAAACAGGATTCCCGGGAAGTGGGTTTTTGCTTGTTTTGTTTTCAGAATGCTGCTCTCGCTGAGGCGCTGGCCTCATTTTCGGGCCACCGCTCCTTCCGAATCGTGCTCCCGCTGCAGCGCTGGCCTCATTTCCGAGCCTCCGCTCGTTCCGAATTGTGCTCCAGCTGGAGCGCTGGCGTCATTAATTCCAGCGCCATGCCACGGTATGGTTTTCGGTCCTTACAAATAGGCTCAAAATTCTTAAGAATTGCCCCCCCCCCCCCCCCCCAAAGAACAATCGGAAGTGATTACACATTTGGTGCCGATTCGTTGATTTGTCGGGTCGCAGAAGCCCCGCTTCACTTTGGGACGTCGCCACGCCATGCTATGTCAGGCTCCGCATCCTCCGAATCGTGCTCCCGCTGCAGCCCTTGTTGCATTTCCGCGCTTCGGCTCGTTCCGAATCGTGCTCCCGCTGCAGCGCTGGCGTCATTATTTCCAGTGCCATGCCACGGCATGCTTCCCGGTCCTTCCAAATATGCCCCAGCATCTAGAAATTGCCCCCCCGGAGAAACCATCGGAAGTGATTCCACATTCAGTGTCGATTCCTTCAGTACTTGGGTCGCAGAAGCCCCCCCCCGACTTTGGGGCGTCGCCACGCCGTGCTATGTCAGGATACGCGTTGATCTTCAACACGATGTTTTTCCATATGATGCTATGCTATGCTACGACATCCGACTGTGCGAATAGGGAGGAGAGCTACGCCATGGTAAGGGATGTGAGGGAGGGTTTGGACGTCAGATATGACGCGAGCGCACCTAGTTTGTCCCCGTCCCCTCCTCCCCCTCTCCCCTTCCTCCCTTCTACTCCGCTGCCTTCTCTCCTCCCCATCCCTCCCTCTCCTCCCTGCTCCCCTCCCTCCTTCTCCTCCTCCTCCTCCTCCTCCTCCTCCCTCTCCTCCACCTCCCTCCTCCTCCTCCTCCTGCTCCTCCTCCCCCATCTTCATCCTCCTCCTCGTCCTCCTCCCCCTCCTCCTCCTGCTCCTCCTCTTCCTCCTCCGCCTCCGCCGCCTCCTCCTCCTGGATTCCCTCCAGAGAAGATTTGCATGGCCCCTGCGCAAGGATGACACGCACACATCGAGAAGTGTATACAATATCCCTCTACGCTGGGCTGCTTCTCCTCCTCCTCCTCCTGCTCCTCCTCCTCCTCTTCCTCCTCCACCCCCTCCTACACCCCCTCCCTCTCCCCTTCCTCCTCCCTGGAGGGCGCTGGCCCGCTGATCCTAGCCGCGTTGGTCCACAGGCCCTTTTGGGGTGGCGGCACTCGGCGCGGGGGGGTCACAGCCCCGCGGGGCATGATTTTAGTTTCATCGTCCAGCGGACGTGCCTTCACCGCTCATCTTTCCCTCCTCCTCCTCCTCCTCCTTCTCCTCCTCTCCGCCTCCTCCGCCTCCTCCTCCTCCTCCTCGTCCTCCTCGTCCTCCTCCCCCTTCTCATCCTCCTCCTCCTCCTCCTCCTCCTCCTCCTCCTGCTCCTCCTCCGCCTCCGCCTCCGCCTCCGCCTCCGCCTCCTACTCCTCCTCTCCTCTTCCTCTTTCTTTCTCCCCCTCCTCCTCCTCCTCCTCCTCCTCCTCCTCCTCCTCCTCCTCCTCCTCCTCCTCCTCCTCCTCCTCCACCCCCTCCCCCTCCCCCTCCTCCTCACTCGTCCTTCCTGTCGCCCCCCCGCACCCCTCCAGGATGTCATGCAGACATCCTGCAGGCGTGAAGCAAGCACCAGCCGCTCGAGGAGGAGCGGCAGGTTGCGTGTGGAGCGCCCGCGTGCTTCGACGAGCGCTGGTGAGCGTGAGCTGGATGGCGACGGCGCTGGCACTCGGCAGCACGCGAAGGAGATGGTGGACCAGACATCTTTGAGTTGCCAGGAAGATGGCCAGGATACCATCAAGCACGACCTCGGCCTCCGCGACAAGACCCAGATGGCCGTGGACATCAAGGAGCCCGTCGGCCTCGTGGTGCACGACAGGGTCAAGCAGAGTGAGTGGTAGGCTGCGCGGCCTCGCATTTCCCGAACTTGGCTCGGGAAGACGAGCGCTGGTGAGCGTGAGCTGGAAGGCGACGGTGCTGGCGCTTGGCAGCACGCGAAGGAGATGGTGGACCAGACCTCCTGGAGGCACCAGATGCGGGCCCACCTGGCTCCGCTCTGAGGGAGTAGCTTCGGTGGTCTCCCCGCGTGTGGCGGGCGGCACGGCCTTCGAGGATAGCACGAGCTGTGCTGTCCCAGGTGACACCGCGTACCTCGGCCGGCCCCCAGGGAGCGGCTTCGGTGGTCTCCCCTCGCGTTGAGGGGGGCACGGCCTGGCGGATAGTGCGGAACGCTGTCCTAGGTGACGCTGCATACCTACAGGGGGCTACTTTTTCTCTTTCGTCCTCCTTCGATCTTGATCGGTGAGTGGATTAGAGGCGGCTCAAAAAGAGCTCCCGCGTGCCGCACCGCCAGCGCCGTGCCCGTGCCGTGCGGGTGTGCGTGGGTGTCGCCCGCGCGGCGTGTGCGTGCGCGTGCGCGTGCGCGTGAGCGTGCGCGTGCGCGTGCCGTGCGCGTGCCGTGCCCGCGTGCCGTGCCGTGCGCGCCTGACGTGCCGTGCACGCGCATGCCGATACTGATTCACAGCCTTGTTGGCTCATGGAGGGGTCGATCCATGTGTATATATATATATATATATATGTATACATACATATATGTATGTATATATATATATATGATTGGATCTACACATGTATGTTGACCCGCACATTCCGCGAATGCGCTCGTGAGATCATGGTGGGATGGCACAGCTGATCCTGAGCTCCGGTGGCCTCGGGGGAGCTGAACTCGGAAAAGCTCTCGCGGGCGTTCCCCGCTCGGCCTGGCCGAGCTTCCGATCATTGAGGCACATGTCTTATCATGCAGCTGTGCTGCGTAGGGTCTCGTTGCAGCACGATTTGAACTTGAAAAGCCCTACCTGCATGGTTATGCAGCTCACTGGGCCGCTGCATGCAGCAGACGCCGCACCACAGAAACGCCGGAGTGACCACCAGCGTACGAAGGCATGTGGGTAAGGCATTGCATGTGGAAGCAGGTCCTGGACAGGAGACACAGGTCTTAGGACAGAACTGCATTGTCAGCGATTGCGTTTTCCAAAGCACCCAGTGCTGCTTCCCGCCTGAAGGTGCAACTCTGGCGCGCTAGACCCTTGTCAATGTTCCGAAGCGCTCCTCGGAGAAAGGCTACAACACTGACAGCCGGTTCATTGAACGACGGTGCCACCTACCAGCTTTATCCTGGAAGGGGCGAGCAGTTTCCTGCGCCCTCGGGTGCATGGCGATTCCTGCTTTCGTGAACTTGTCGCTAGCTGGTTGCCCGAACAAGAGTGCAAGACTGGTGGCCTTCGAAACCATCTTCAGACCCTTGCCAGGCCGTGCCTTTTACAAGCTACCAGGCCTTGACATTTCCCTGTTTGGTTTCGCGCCACTATGCCGCGAAATGGAGTCCAACACCACCCAGTAGGGCCTGTCAATCAGCATCAAGGAGAGGATGGGCCACATAAAGGGCCATTAGCAAAGCGCGGTGCTCTGCACGGGTGGCCGCCTGCTCGATGACGAGAGGATGAGCCTTTCCTTTTTCCGTCCACGTCATCCTAATCCCGATCCTCGACCGCCTCCTCCTTTCCCCAGTCGCCCATTCCTCGTTTACTCGCTCGCTCACTCCTCGCCGACAGCTCCCCCTCGCTGGCCCATCGGCCACCCTGGAGATCCGGCCCAACAGAAGTATGCACGCGGACACCCTCCAGTGGTTTGATCCTGGGCCTCAGGGGAGGGTGGCGGCGTGTATAAATCACCAAAGGAAACCAACGATTCTAATACATCGCCGCCTTCCCTGAAGGTGCACGCAACATTCGTCGGCGGGGCGCCGGGGGGGAAACGAGAAGGGCCAGGGGCTTTCTCAGAAGGCTCGAGAGCACGCCGGCCTCCTGAGAAGTTTCTGAGCCTTCCCCGGGGACACAGACGACTCCTCAGGAGGCCCGCGGGCTTCCGAGAAGCCCTGTCGCCCACGGAAAAGGCCCTCCCTTCCTCGCTTCCCCCCTCGCTCGCCGCCGACGTGTGTGTTTTCGTGGCGTGGGGGGGCGTCTCGCCCACTCACTCGCTCGCTCCTCCCCTCCTCGTTCGGTCGCACATCATGGGAGCTTGTGTATTATCTTAATTCCGTCTCTAGCGTCGACTGACGTCGGCTAGCGCTTGAGAGTGGATGAGGTAGCGCCGGTTAGCGCCGATCGGCGTCGATTGTAGCGCCGATAAGCGCCGATTCTGCGGCGATTGGCGTCGATTCGCAAGGGCCGACAAGATGGTGTGGGATGCTCCCGTGAGTTGCCACCGAGCATTCATCGCTGACCAAGGCTTGGGTGACCCACCTTGCCCAGGAACGTGCGGTTTTGCTGAACGTGAAAGGTCCTCACGCCACACCCCAGTGATGGGAATACCTCTGTCTTTCTGCCAAGGCTCCCTGACGGATTTGGACCGACCGAGGCTCGCTCGCAACCCCGAGCGCTCGCTCCTCCCCTCCTCGCCCCCCTCTGCCCTGCGCCCTCCTCGGGGGCCAAGACCCCAGAGGGGGCTGGGGGCCCGTGCCGCGCCCCGCCCAGCCCGCCGGGCGAGGCCGTTCTTGTCGCGCTGGCCCAGCACCGCCCTGCTCCCCCCCCCTCCTGCTCCTCCTCCCCCTCCCCCTCCTCCTTCTCCTCCGCCTCTGCCTCCTCCAACTCCTCCACCCCCTCCTCCCCCTCC